GCCCGCCGGAGGAGGTCCGCCAACCTATAAGAGAACACACTTTAGGGGAATGGTGGAGCCCGTCCCATCCTGATATGTTTTCTGTCTGGAGAAAATTGAACTTTTATTGGGTTGTGATGGCAGCCTTGTAGCAGAGAGAATTCATGAAAGTGGTCATGCTTTTTTACTACTATGGTGGGTCTCAATTTGATTTCTGCCACTAATGTACATATGAACACAGAATTTTTTTTTTTTTTAAAGTACAGAATTGAGAATCCACTAAAATAGGGGTGGAGAATAAGTGGGTTTTCTTTACTACAGTAACGGATTCTAAATATGGATAGTGCAGCAAGACTTCCCCTGTGAAAGCTGGAGGTTGGGAAATTTGGATTTATGCACCTGCTTGTTTTTAGGCCTATTTTTTGGGACCAAACATGAAACTGATTGCATTTAGTTCTGGCTTCATAATGGGAAGTTAATCCATTTTCTCACCCTAACTAATTCACACTTCATCTGAAGCCGGACATTTATATAATATGGTTAAGAATGTAACTGAACAATAACTGCTATTACAGTCTTAGAGGGCTTGTACTTGAGCCGGGAGCCTGCTCTGACCCACTGTGATTACATGTGGAGCATGTAATTACTCCATGGAGGAGCAGACTTGATTAATTGAGTCTGCTGGAGCATGGTGATTAGCCTGCTCCAACCATATCTTGTATATCAGTGTCCTTGCGCTTCAAGGGTGCTTGTCCATGTGATGCCTCTCGTTTCCATGTTACACTTTTCCTGTGTCCACGTGACAAATCGCCATTAAGCCAGCTAAAATAGCATCTGCGTATGCACGTTATCAGCTGATTTTATGGTTTTTTGTTTTTTTTTTGTTTGTTTTTTTGTGGTACTTTAAAACACCTCTGGCATGTTTTAATTTTACCTAATGAATTTCTTCCATGAGGGTTATTTTTATCATTTTAAATTTGTAACGTGGATCTGACTTGCACCCAAAAATGTGGGTTTTTCCCCCTAATTTGCACCTGTTGCACCACCAGGTGGCACTTGGGTTCATTGTAAATCCATTGCATCTCTTGTAATACTTCAGCATGACTCCAGGGGTTAATCTTGCAAGTTTTAACTGGCAAGTTGGTTCAAGGTTCAGGTGAATTAAAAATAAATTTTTTTTGGATTGTTTTCTGTGTTTGCATGTACTTTGTGGCAAAGATCAAATAGTTATGGGTCAGGCAAGACCTCAGGCTAATTAAAATTACTTTTTGTTGGACTCAGTTTTTGTTTTTTGGTTTGGCAGGGCTGGGGGTGCAGGTCAGGAATGAGGGGGACCGGCAGAGCTGGGAGGGTAGGGGTAACCCTGGTGGTACTCGGATGAGGTACCCCCTCTCCAATGGAAGGGATTTAGCCGGTGTTAGTGCACTATGGGAAGGGTAGCTGCTTATGGGGGAGCAGGGTTTCCCAAAATACGAGGAGCAGATCCCACCAAATTCGAGGCATAGGCACCCCAGTGGGGTGGGGTAAAAGAGGTGAGGGTAACGCACGCTGCAGTGGGGATTCCCTTTTGCAAGTAAATCAGCTCTCTGGTGCACTGGCTCGGAATTGAACCCAGATCTCCCATGTGGCAGGAAAAAGCTGTACCACTAAGCTATCAATGCCTGGCCTCTTGCCTGCAACTCCAGGCTATAGTGTCTCCAGGATCCTCCATGTGCCGTCTGCACACTGAGCTGCCTGGCTTCATGCCAAAGCGGGGTCGGAAAGAACCCGAGCTGCCACCTGCAGCTTGGGGCTTTGATCCCTCTGGGACCCGCTGCACACTGCTTCTGAGAGGGTAGGGGGCTGCAGATCAGGAGTGAAGGGCACTGGCAGTGTATGGTGTGGGGTGTGCTAAACTGTTGTATATGGCTGTTGCACCCAGCTCTGGGGTGTATCTCAGCCCTCCCCATACACCAGGGATGGGCAAATATTTTGGGCAGAGGGCCGCTTACTGAGTTTTGGCAAGCTATTGAGGGCTGCATGACAGGCAGCCCAGGGCAGATAAATATTAATTTTCTAAATTTTTAGGGGCCCTGTAGGCCAGATAGAATGGCTTGGCTGGCCGCACCTGGCCCCTGGGCCACTTTTTGGCCACCTCTGCCATACACTGTTGTATGCAACTCTTATACCCCAGAGCTGGACACACATCTACCATTCCCATGCACTGCTATATGTGGCTATTACACCCAGAGCTAGTCTACCCCATGCCATGCCACGCTGGGGGACTTGCTTGGACACACCTGACCATATGGGCTGGACCAGGGAGAATGTCCAGCTGTAATCCTAGCCCAAAAACAGCCCAGTTCCAGGAAAACCAGAAAACTAGAAAAACCACAGAGGCATGGCTTGGGGCTTTTGGTTGTAGCCGTGTTAGTCTAAGGACGTAGGCAGGCAGAGTTCTTTGAGTAGATGTGACATCTTTTATTAGACCAACTGAGTAGTTGGAAAAAAGTTCTTGGCAAGCTTTTGGGTGTAATCACCCTTCTTCAGGCACAGGGAGTCTCTGCTGTTTTGAGACTCCAAGAAATGAAAGAAGCTAAAAAGTATGGTAGGATCTCAGTGAAAATGTAAATAGGGTCAGCCAGAGTCACTCAACTGGTGTTACAGGTTCTGTTGAGGAATCTTAAGGTAATGGTCTGAAGGGGGATATGGTCCTCTCCAGTCCTACAGGAGGCACCCAGCTCTGGGGTGTAACAGCTCCATAGAAGTGTATGGGGAGGGCTGAGATGCACCCCAGGGCTGGGTGCAATGGCCACATAAAAGAGTTTAGCACAGCCCACACCATACACTGTTATACGTGGCCACTACAACCCAGAGCTGGGTGCACCACCGGACCCAAGCCTCTCCAACAGTGCATGACTCTCCTTTCCCTGCAGTGGCCTAGGAGTTGTGGCACAAGCATGTGGGGGGGCTGGTGGTTGGCACTGGTGGCATCTGCCTGTGTTCCTCACTCTGAACCTGAAGCCCCCGCCTCACCAGCCCTGCCAGTGCCTCTCATTTCTAGCTAATCTGCAGCCCCCCAGCCCAGCTGGTGCCCCTCACTCCTGACCTGCAGCCCCCTGCCCTCCCAGCCCCCTTCCCCGCAAGTCCTTCCAGTGTACTTCACTCCCTGCTTGCAGCCCCCTGCATGTTCAGCCCAGCTGGTGCTCCTCACGCCTGACCTGCAGCACCCTGCACTCCCAGAAAGAGGCAGCAGTATGACTGTCAGGAAGAGCGATGGCAAACAGGGTGGTCAGAGGGGGACAGGGACATGCTGCTGGGGACAAAAGTAGGCTTAGCAGGAACAGGAGTACCAGAGAAGAGGGGCAAGCTTGGGGGAATGGGGGTAGAGGACAGGATGGAGAACAAGTATTGAAGGGGTCTGGTCATAGGCCGGGGGGATATGACTGTGGGCAACAATGATCTGCAAATGCAGCAGTTAAAAGACTGACATGCAAACTGACTAAGTGATAAGAAAATTCCTGTAATTGAGCCTGGGCTGTTTCTTTCTTCGCCTCAACCCACATCATGCCCCTGCTGTGTGGGGAGTTGGAGTTGCAGTAGGGCCCCCAGAAAAAAACGGGAGGCTTTGCAGGGGAGGCAGGCAGCACTGCCTATTGAACTCCCCCTCCCCAAAATGCGTGCGTCTCAAGCAAACCCCCCAACAGTTCCCCCCAGAAAAGCAACCTGGCACAACCAAAGAAAATAAACCAACCAAAATATCGAATCGTGTCCTAAAATGTCTCCTGGCAATAAAGTAAGTACTGAAAGGGCAGGAGGGTAAAATAGTTCTGACACGCCCTCTAGCGCTTTGTACTCGTCATAGCATAATAAGCCCTTGTGTTGTAAAGCACGTCCACGTTACTCATCTAGCCGTTTTAAACGAGGACAGAAAATTTAAATCGGGAACATTTTTAGTGACTAAATGCCGAGTATGTGGACAAACACCCTAGAATGGCAGTGGGGGCGCTTTATGTAAAGCTCATCAAACAAGCTTAACTTAAAGTGCCCCCACTGCCGTTCTGAAGTTTGGAGATGCACAAGACGCTCTGGGCACTTTAGTTGGAATGGTGCCCTCTCCCAACCCCTGGAGCATGTGTATAAATGCCTCTAAATGTTGGATGCAACTGAAACTCCGTGTTTTTTGTTCCCATAGGTGAATCTGAAGAATGGCGTCCCTCCAGATAGCAATAATGAGACCTGTACTGCAGGAGCTGGCTCTTTGTTGGTGGAGTTCGGGATGCTTAGCAGGCTGCTTGGGGATTCCACGTTTGAGTGGGTGGCTCGACGAGCTGTTAAAGCACTCTGGAACCTCCGAAGCAATGACACTGGACTGTTAGGTAGTCACGTACCACTCAGTGCTTCTCGGATGTCTTTGTCACCTTGGTCAGAAAACAATGCTTTGGCTGTCTTTTTTGTTTTAATGTCACATTCGTAGGAATAGACCCATAAATATCTTACTGAGTGGTGAAAGCAGCTGGGATTTACTGTTTTCCAGCCACTCTGTGGTGCTTCCCTCATGCTTTCGCTGAGGGCTAGGTTAACTTTCACTCACCACGAGGGAAGAGCAGGCACACATCAGTTACCACCAGAACAGCTGTGAACTTCCCTGTTACCCTATGAGTTGTCCATATATCCATACTCTGAATCCCTTGGATGGTAGTGCCAGGTGCAAAAAATTGCCTTCACATTAAAGAGGGATTCTGGCTGTCTGACCTTTATATTGTGCTCTCCTTGTGTACATACACTTTCCACAGGACAATGGCACTGGCTATGCTGAGAAAGCAGCCTATTTTAATGGAAATCCAGGACACAGGTACTCAATGGAGAATTGTGCATAATAGTTCTGGAGCATACCTGATGGATCTGCTAGATGTGAAACCTGGTGTTTCTATATGTGTGGTCCTTCTACCATAACTTAGAATGGCCTGTGAAATAAAGGCAGAAGGATTTGGTGTTTAGACATGGAATAACTGCATGTGAATTAGCTTTACTTTTAATCTGAGTGTGGTCTGATCACTTAAGCGATTCCATTTGCGATCCATTTCCTTTTGCTTCAGCTAAAATATACTCCAGGAAATATCTTCAGCCGTATTTATTTCTCCCCCTCCTCTCTCTCTCTTCTTACTCATGAAGGGAATGTTGTGAATATTCAAACTGGCCATTGGGTTGGAAAGCAAAGTGGCTTAGGAGCAGGATCAGACTCGTTCTATGAATATCTTTTGAAGTCCTACATTCTCTTTGGAGAAAAGGAAGACTTGGAGATGTTCAATGATGCTTATCGGAGCATTCAGAATCACTTAAGAAGAGGGTAAGTTTCATATACTTATTGTTCCCTCAATTTTAAGCGTGTGTCTGTAGTATATGCCAAGTTGTGTATGGTATCTGCTGTACTTAATGGGGAAAGCTGTACTCTTTCATGAAAATTTTTCTTCACTTTTTATTTTCTCCATATTCTGACTCCTTTTTTGAAGTTTGCACCCAGTAGTAATCCTGTCTAGATTAGTTGATTGGGGAAGGAGATGAATACTAAACTAGTATTTATTTGCTGCTTAGGCTAAGTATCTGGTTACCAAGTTCACAGACTTGGGGGTGAGATCAGAAATAGATATAGTGCTGGGACTCCGTTCTCAAAATACTGGTGAGTCTCCTATTAATGCAAATTAAAATTAGAGCCTTATTCTTTGTAAAATGAAGATTAGTACATGGGCTTCAGTAAAAATCTGATACCCTGAAGCTTATGATTTGTTTGTGCTTCTGTTAGTGTTGTGATGTATCCTGTTTAATGTGCATTATGTTCTTAGAAAAGTTGAATGTTTCTATGTTCTCATTGTTATGCAGGCGAGAAGCCTGCAATGAAGGTGAAGGTGACCCTCCTTTGTATGTTAATGTAAACATGTTCAATGGTCAGCTGATGAACACCTGGATTGACTCTCTGCAAGCCTTTTTTCCTGGACTGCAGGTAATCTCAATCCTCAGCCTTTTGTGGTTAGACAGTACAGTGGGTTGGTGTCGGAGGTGTTCATTCCAGTGCAAGTTCTGGGTTGCAAGTGAGTCCAGACTTGGGGTCCCCACTAGCAGTCTTTGGGTATGGTTTTTTGGCACCAAAGAGGACCGGGATAACAGCTGGGAAAAACCTGCTTGAGACTGCATTGTTAATGCTGTAGCTTGTATTTTCAAGAATTAATTCTGAATTCAGTTATGCTTTTAACCATACTATTCTGGAACTGAGTTAGGAACATTCTTGTTCCAATACATGGGTGTGAAGATATTAACCATATCATAGTGGCTCTTGCTGGAAAAAAATCTCCCTCGTTTAGGTGCATATTGCAAATAGCATTTGTGCACATACAGGAAATGGGAGGTAAAACCTGTCAAAAGCAGCTGTCTGCGTTGTATTGTTGGTATAGGCTTATTGGATGTGTGTTCATAGCTGCTTCTTTCTCTAGGTTTTAAAAGGAGATGTGGAAGATGCTATTTGTCTCCATGCCTTCTATTATGCTATATGGAAGCGTTATGGAGCTCTCCCAGAGAGGTACAACTGGCAGTTGCAGGCACCAGATGTCCCCTTCTATCCACTAAGGCCAGAGCTGGTGGAATCTACTTATCTTCTTTATCAGGTACCTGACATGTTTTGCTACTCTAATCTGGAGGAGCTTTTTGGCCTGTGCTGCTTCTGCGTTTCCTAATGCATATTTGACCACTACCATGCTGCCCAATCCTCTGTTGGGAACAGTCTTTCCTGAGTGGTCTTGGGACGTGTGTAGACAAAACAGGGGCCCTAAATTTGAAGTGGTGGGTTTTAAAAAACACCGCTTCAATTTAAGGGTGATTTGAACGCCTGTGTCATGCCCACACCCCACTGACTTACCTGCCTCTCTGGCAGCAAGGGGAGGGCAAGCTGCCAGCACGTGGGGCAGTCCCTGGGCTGCAGGAGGGACTGGTGCTTCCGTCTGCGGCAGTGGAGGTCATCGCGTCTCCCCCAGCAACTTCCGGCACCCAGCTTGGGTGGTCTGCGCAGCTCAGGCAGGCAGGCTTCATGGGGGAGGGGGGAAAAAAAGATTGGGCGTGCCACTTTTCTTGGGCAGAGCCTGCTTTCCTGGGCTGCTGCCAGGCTGCCTGCAGCATTTCCTGCAGAGCTGTGGAGCTGCGCAGAGCCCGATGCTTTGCTCCGTGGCTGTAGGGGCAGCAAACCAAAACTCCTCAGAGGAATTTTAGTTTGCTGCACCCCAAGTCATTTAAGGTGCATTATGCCACCAGATTTCCTACAGCAGCTGGAATTGATGTGCAATATGCTGCCAAGGTGTGCAAACACTGACACCACTAAAGTGATGCAAAAGCATTTAGCCCGCTTTAAAGTGTCATGCACACATACCTCTCGTTTCTTCTATACACAGCCTTAGACGCTTGGGTGTTGCACAGAACCCCTGATGACTTACTTGCTTTGAAGGAGAAAAAAGTTGAAGGGCAGCTTTATCTCTAATACTTTCGCAACATATTTTCCTTCTGATACCACACCTAGCAAATTTGTGTGTAAATACTTTTGGGAAAGAAGTTATTACAGTACAGATAGACGGTCAGAGGAGCACCATCTGTTCTTAAGCATAAAGGAATGCCTTGTGGTTGCACTGCATTAACTCCTTCAAACTGATGCCAATAAGCTCCCACTGTAATGAATGACAGCTTTAACAGTGTTTATAAATCCATGACACACATTTTTCCTTCTCTGACTAGGCCACCAAGAATCCTTTTTACCTTCATGTTGGGATGGATATTTTACAGAGTCTGGAGAAATACACAAAAGCCAAGTCAGTTTCCAAAGTTTTTTAGCTTTCTCACCATTGTAAATGTATTTAGGTATTGTTTGTGAAACTTCACTATCTACCACTGGGGGCAAAAAAGTATTTAATAAAATTGAAGTTCTGAAGGTATTTACCATATCCAGTTGGCTGAAAGCACCAGTCTTTGAGCAGAAAATTGCATAGTCAGGTGGCAAGAACTACACACTTTTTTGGAAAAATTAAGTGCTCTTCTCTCTTTAAATTTTAAGGACATACACACCTTTCCAATAATGCGTCCCTTGGGACCATTATTGGCGAAGGCAACCAAACCAGATCCCTGACTATGTTCAAAGAGCTTTCTTTAGCTCAAATTCAGCTTCCTTGTCAAGACATATTGCAACTGATTTGGTTTTATTAATATATGGGCTCTTCATTATGAAATGCTGTAACTTCTTTTTATAGTGGGACTTGCACCGAAACTTTAAGTAATCTGGCTTTAGACCTGTTTAGGTAAAACAAATTTATTGCTATACTTTATCTGAAGTGTATTTTCTGTGTTGCACAGTGGCCCTGGATTATTATTATTTTAATTTGCCAATCAGTTGTTACAGCGTTGTTCTTTGTTACTTCTTGCAAAAGAAAAAAAAAAAGCTCTGGCAATTACAGGAGAGAGAAGATCAGGACATTAGCAGTATGCAAAAGAGAGCTAGCTAGTAGATATTGTTATCCTGTGATTTAAGAGGTGCTGGCCCAAGAAGTCATAGGTTCAGACTCTTTACAGTCCAGGACCACCCATGTGGCAGTGTAGATCATGACCCTTCTTTTGTCAAGATGGGAATCTTGCTTTTCAATAAGTGCTGCCTAGAATGTAAGTCTGTTCAATAAAAAAAATATTGGGGGTTTGATACTAGTTTTGCTGTATGTGGAATAAAAAGCAGGCTTTTTGAAATAACATCCAGAATAGCCAGCAGTTGGATACAGATGACCCAGGTGTTACTCCATACTTTTGAATTGGGGAGATTAGAACCTTACATCTGGGGCTTCCATATTCCACAGGAGACTGCTGACTCCATGGGCTGTTTACTGTAGTATGGTGGGGAGGGAGCTGAGAAACTATTTTTGCACTATGGAAAGTTTATTTTAATTAACTGGCACTTTGTTTTAATTGGAAAAATTTTATGTAAAGAATTTCTGACCAAATCTATTGAGTATATTGTGGTGACTGTCTCACTCCTTCAAGGTTTCAGTGTGTCAGAAGTGACAGCTGCAAAAAAAAAAAAAGAAAATTATTAATAGTGAGATACTTTTTGATGGCTTAAAACAAAGCAGTGCCCCCCCCCCCACTTTGTTAAATCAGCCCCTGTTGTTCATTTAGAAGGAATGAAATTGAACAACGTGTTCATTTTCAAGTATCTAATGGAGTGGAAATAAAACCAGTTTGGTTTTGTGTTTTTTAATTTTTCAGATGTGGCTATGCTACGTTACACCATGTTGTAGAGAAGTCTAAAGAGGACCGAATGGAGAGCTTCTTTCTCAGTGAAACATGTAAATATTTGTATCTGGTAGGTATTTATTTCTCAGATCACAACCCAAAAACTCAAAAGTCTTACTTTTTAGTAGTGTGCAGCACTAATGGCTTTTTCATTTGTAGGGAATGTGGGCAGGCAAGGGGTAGCACGGGAAGGTAGAAGGTCATTATAATTCAAGTCACTAACTTTTGAATTAATAACATGGACTCTAAGTCCTCAAATTTCAGGTTGGGAGCATTTTATTAAAAGGAGTGCTCAAGAGTGTTTACTATGCAATTTTATTTATTTATTTAATCTTTTAAGAAACTAAGGTCTTTGTGCTTTCAAGGTATTAATGCCACTAAAAGAAGCAATGTTGGGTGGTGGATTTTCTATATCCGTTTGAAGTGTCTGATAATGAACAGGTGAATCCATGCTTCATGTTCTCCTTCTTCCTCTCCCTCTTCCTCGTGTTTAGTTATTTGATGAAGAGAACCCAGTGCACAAATCTGGAAATAAATATTTGTTTACTACTGAAGGGCATATTGTGTCTGTGGACAAACGTTTTCGTGACTCAGTATGGCAAGATATCTTCCCAGAAGAGGAGGAAAAGAATGCACAAAAACTCAAACCCAGTGAAGTTAAAGCAGTCAACTTCAGCTCCAATGTAAGCCCTCTTATAAAGTGTCTGGCTGTATTATGGTAGAAACTGGGTGAGCCCAACTAGGCAGGACAGCCCCGGGGAAAAGAAAGTCACTTGGCATTGGTAAGTAAGGCTCTAGAGCAGGAGTGTCAAACATAATGCTAGCGGGCTGAGTTCAGCCTCCTGGGCAATCCACGAGCCAGGGTTCTGCCATCCTGCACCCTTAAGCCCTAGTGGATGTGTCAGGAGGGTGAGCAAAAGCTGACTCAGGCCTGGTTGTTCTTTGGCTGTTTCTGTCATTACTGCTTCTGTGGGCCCAGCTCCTCGGCTCTTCTCATGCTGGGCCCAGAGTGGCACTGTGCCAGACCCAGAGCTGCTAGCTACTGCCCTGGCATGAAGCATATGTTGGCAGAAACTCCAGCTCCAGCTTTGGGCATGCGGCAGGAGCTGGAGTAACTGCCGCGTGCGTCAGACAGACAGAAACAGGAGCCACCCCATACCCTGGATAGAATCTGGCCTGCAAGAAGCTCCACCACCTGGACCCAGCCTGCGGCAGGAGGAGAGTTTGACACCCCTGAAGCTTGTACTTAATTATTTTTAAATGCTGAATGTTTTGGGACGTAAAAGAGAATAAGTGCTTCTGTGGGTCTGGATGGCATAGGTACAGTCTTATCAGCTCCAATTCTCCTTCCTCTGGTGACTAAAAGTTAATTTATCATCTGGTGGGTATGATCTAGGGGATGGGGACAAGCTTAGTTGGCACCCTCTAGTTCTTAGAGTAGCTCGTACATCTCTTGTCACAGGCTCTTTCCTTTTTTGATGTTTGAGGCCAAGATTAAATGAATGGACAGCTTGTCCTTTCACCTTTCAAAGACCTCCAGGTATTTCAGTGAGTTGGGCCAGATGAAAAAAACAGGTTCTTCAGGAAGAGGTTGGCAGAGAGCACATTTCAAAGCCAGTGGGCTAAAGAAGGGATACCTTAGTATTTTGTTTACAATGGCACATAGTGTGCCCTAAAAAAATACTAAGAAGGGGTAGAGGTTGGGGGGATGGGAACAAAGAATTATCAGATGCAGCAGATTGGGCTACCATGTGGTGCTAAGCTCTGTAGTCAGTACCCAGTAAACCAGTGAGTCTCAGCCAGGCGGCAAGGCACCCTGGGGTGCCTTGAGAACCTTTCAAGGCTGCCACACAATATTAGCACTGTTAGATTTGCAAGCACAGTTCACAGAAGAAACCCAGAGATTTCAAATAGAAATCCATAGTTGTGGTCTTTCTGAAGTTCTTTGCAATAGGGAAACTGCTCCATTTATTTGTAGGCAAAAAAGTAAAAACTAAGAGCTGACATTTTTCTGAGGGATGCTGTGAGGCTAAAAAGGTTGAGAACGACTCCTGTAGTGGTTCTGCAAATGCGCACACATTGTAATATTGAGAATGGCGATGCGGGAATTTCAGTTAGTAATTGTCTTTTTTTATCGTTTTGCTCCCAGTGTAATAGAGTCCCTGATGAGAGGAGATACTTGCTGCCACTGAAGAGCATCTACATGAGACAGATAGATCAAATGGTGGGCTTGATTTGAGCTGTTCTCCCCAGCAATGCTTTGTCCTAGGACGGAAGTGGAGTTTGTGGTGTAGACATTTCTCTTCAGCTACACCCCCCCCC